TGAAACCGCCAGCAGGTGGCGGCAAATCACTGATTTTATCACTGAATCATTCATTCAATTGATTCGTTTGAACGGCTGATTCATTCAAGAATGAAGAAAGTGACTGTCATTATGAATGGGTAATCATGAATCACTGACTCACTAGATTCGTTCAAAAACGCACTTTCATTCATGAATGAAACACCGCTGTGTTTGCTTTTAGAGATGCGCAGCGGCTGAGCTGTTACTTTATTTGGAACTATTTTCGTTGATGAAACAGAGCAAAATCAGGCAGTAGCCTACTTGTTTATTGAACTGTTGTATTAAATCAATATCACATTTGCAAACTCCTTTAATAATTATTAAAAGCTGTCACTCTCCTTATCGCGATCTGTGGGCGCACAGAAAATGAAAGTGCGTGAGTGAGTTCTCAAGTCTCAAAAGCACGTGCAAATGATACGTTCCGTCATCTGTCATCGCGTTATAAACGAGGAACCTGCGGAAATGAGTATAATTATTATTATTAATAGCCACAATCCCGCGCCGAAATTCAAGTCCTGCTCTGTGTTCTCTGCTAATAAACCGACTGTGAATGATGCAAGCGGCGTTGTTGTCAGTGAGAAGCTGCAGCTGTGGCGGGGATGATTTTTGGTGTACAGGTGTTCTGACAAATAATGCTACCTATCAGATTATGCTACCAACAAATCGTCAGAACACCGGCAGAACAACAACAATGTGCTACATGTTTCTTTTCCCCTCATTTTTTCCAATTTACAGAAATCCGTCGTAGCGACGGAAAACGTTCATCTCTGAGTAGTATTATGTATAGCATACTGCACCACAGTAATATATTTCTGATAATTTCATTAAGCTAACCCGAATTTATATTTTGACGGGTTGCCATGAGGAACTTGTTTCTGTAGGTCTATGTAAATGATATGAAGATAGTTTTACTCCAATGAAACTGTCAAATGCTCATGAAGTGACTCTTAGAGGTTGTCAGAGCAGATCTGGAGATGTTGTTCATGTATTTATGTCCTCATGTAAGTGAGACGACAGAAGCTGAAATCACCGCGAGCGTCGCACACTTTGTATGTGTAGAAAACAAAACCGCGCGTCTGTGCCATTTACATACACAGAGACACGCAGAACATGCTGGATTCTAGTGTTGTCACGGTACCAAAATTTCAGTATTTGATACCAATACCAGTGAAAATCCACGGTTCTCGGTTCTGACAAGCTGCATCAGAGCCAAATAGCGCGTTTCAAAATTAAGTTATTTTATCGGCGAATCGGTTTTGAAAATGACCGATACCTATAATCATAAAAATGCTTAATATCGGCGCCGATAATCGGTCGACCCCTAGTCTGAAAGTTGCTAAATCTAGTGCTAAAGTCGTGTGTGAGACGCGGGAGCTGATGGCAGGGGGCGGTGGATATTTGTGGTGGTCAGTGTGGATATTGTGGATGAGTTCTTCTGTGTCATCACGTTCTATTAGTTCTACAGCTTCAGTTTCGGAACTTTCACGCTTAGTAACACATACAGCTGTTCCTTCACCACAGTGAAAAGGGACTTCTTTCAAACAGTGTCGCGTTCCGAACGTTGTTTAAGCGACATACGGTATTGCGGTATTTTAAAAATTCATATCATAACAAAAATAAAAACCCTTATTCGGTATGAACCGGTATACCGCCCAGCACTATTTCAGAGCGCCTTGCAGTATTGCACACTTCACATGAACTCCATCTCGGTAGGATGTTTGATTGCGGTCCACTTAAAAGTGTGAGATGCAGTATTCTTATCATGCATTATGGAAAAAAAAATGGTTTGCCTTTTCACCATGTAATTCACACGTTGCATTGTGCCAAATGTTTGCTTGTTGCTAGCGTAAAGGACATTTCTGCTAAAGTTTTCCCCCAAAATGAAGGTGCAAAGGACCGGCATTGTTTACTAACATACTTGCTGTTTTCAGTTGGCTTTGTTTTTATGTTTAAATCCAACCAGTGTCAGTCCTCTTCTTGACATTTGGCAAGATGTAGTAGTACAGAAAAGCTTGAGTCAAGGGTACCTCTCAAACTGTGAATAGACTCTTTGGAAACCTCAGATGCCCAAATTCCCAAACAGCGTATGTTACATGAGCACAAGCGTATGTTACATGAGCACAACCGCATGTGCATGGCTGTTTTTACCGCTCCCTACTACAGCAACTTCCTTACATGGATATCAGAGCCATCTTGCTTTTTTAACTCCCCTGCTTATGAGCAGGTGTTGGAAACGGCCAGTTGTAAGTCTGTTATAAGTTAGTCAGCAGGTGTTTTCACAAGAACGTGGCGATACTTGCGCATTGACCATTTACAGTATTTTTTAAAGACAGTCTGAGTATTTCTCCATTGATTTGCTAACCGGAAGCACCCGTGTGGGGAGTGTGAGTGATTTACTGAACCCTTGTGAGGTGTCGTCACACCAGCTGCTGCCATCTCCATATTGTGACCTGAGATAGGTGTGGAGACTGGTGTCTTAGCCCATCCTCACTTGAATGAAAGGAGAAAATGTAACATAACTTTGATGCTTCCTCCCTTGTAGAGGTCGACCGATATGGGTTTTTCACTGGCCGGTGCCGATATTTAGAAATCAGGGCAGCCGATGGCCGAGATATGATGCCGATTTTTTTGGCCGATATGTTTGGCCGATTTTTTATGCTTTTTGTTTGTTTGCTGACAGACACCAGTGTTTCCCACAGACTTGCAAATGCATCCTCCGCCAGCAGGAGGCGCTGTTGGAGCGGGAGATATTGCGGTAACGGCTGTAATCAAATAAGCACTGCGCTCACAAACGCTACTTTATCAGGCATTACAGGAAAGACTAAATGAAAATGACACCAAAGCTTTTCTGAAGATGGTCGGTTCTTTTCAAAGATGCATTCATATAAAAACACCAGCGCTGCATTTTAATTTTGAAACGTGCAGTGATCAGTTTATTCAACGAAGCAATAACTCAATGTATGGGAAACACTGGACACTGCTAGAAGTCAAATGGCCAAGTGATAACAAAAATAAAAGAGTTCACACATATTACACAGCCTGCTGCTCATAACTGCTTAAGAGTGCACTGGCCACGAGCGATGACATCGTGGATGCTATTGTCAGACCTACACACTCATTTCACAAGGAAAGTTAACGTGCACGTTATAATCAGCCCAAAAGTTTCGTCTGAATTGCGTGTGTTTCTACCTTCACATGCACTTATGAATATGATAACTTTCCGGCATCAATTCTAGTAGGGTAAAACTAGAATGCGCCTGCCTATAAATCGGACTAATTTGCAGCACAATTGGCCGATGCCGATTAATTAAAAAATGCCAAAAATCGGCCGATTAATCGGTCGACCTCCACTCCCTTGTTGGCTAAAACCAAGTAAATGGGTAATTATTGACACTGTCAAGTAGCAGCAAAAGAGTCCGTAAACAGAAGAGCAGTAAGCTTACTGCTATAATGGTATGAGTCAAGAACAATGGTGGCAGTGCTTCACGTCCAGAGGGAAGAGGCTGGTTGTTTTGTTTGTCAATGGTCCTTCTCAGCTGTATTAGTTGTTCGTTATTGTTACCCCATGGTTGCTTAGCAAACAGTGATGATCTGGCTAAGCAGTTAAAGACATTCAGTTTAGAACCCCTGAAAGTCATCGATATAAGTTGCAGTGATGGTGTGTGTGTGTGTGTGGAATGGATGCCCTTTTTTTCCCCAACTATGCTAATTATAGTATTAACGATATCCAGAACATCTCCGGATTAGTTGCAGGTGATTATTGATTATTATTATGTTGGCAGACATTTTTTATTGTTTATTTACTATATTTTATCTTTTTATGTGTATGTTTGTGTCTATATATATATATATATATATATATATATATAAAATATGCAATACAATATTTTTTACCATATGCAGATCATCTCGGGATTAGTTGCAGGTAATATTTATTCAGTTGACAGACCTTTTTTATTTAAATGAATTAATTTATTATATTTTACCTTTTTATGTATATATGAATATTTTATATATAACAAATATAATTTTATTACGTTTATTTTAATCTTGAGGCATATTATTATTGAAAATAGATGGTTGAATGTTTTTTTTTAGTCAATTTTACAAACATTTGTTGAAGTCAATGAAATTATTTCAGCCAGACCTGTCAATCACAGAGCTCTGAGCTTATTGTGTGGGAGATTGAGGTGCCAAAGGTACGATTCCCTTAAACCCCTGATTCTGCGTCACATTTAGTACTGTTGCGATCAATCAAAGGTTTTTCTTAAAGTATTTTAGCAGTTTAAGGAAACTCTTTGCATGTTGGCTAACAGCTCTTTATCTCAATGTCAAAACAGAAACTTTAGTCTGTGCTAGCTTTCTTACCTTGTGTATGAATTCATTAAAACCTGCTTTGATATCTGTGGTTGTCCTCTTGTTTTGCAGCATCTAGTGGGACGGCTAATTGGCAAACAAGGAAGATACGTGAGCTTTTTGAAGCAAAGCTCCGGTGCTAAGATCTACATTTCAACCCTGCCTTATACTCAAGAGTTTCAGATCTGCCATATAGAGGGTAAGTGAGTTTCTATGAAAGGCCACAAACTATGGCCTTCTTGAATTGATTGTTTTTGTTGTTTTGTTTGTTTCTTAGGAACCCAGCAGCAGGTAGATAAGGCGCTGGCCTTGATTGGGAAGAAGTTCAAAGACTTGGACCTGACCAACTTGTACGCCCCACCTCCCCCACCGCTAACGCTGCCCTCTCTGCCCATGACTTCCTGGGTAAGATTGGCCCCTTCCTCCTGTTCCTGCAGACTACATAGACAGCTAGCATCTAAGGCAGCATTCTGACTGTCATGCACCCTCAGGGATCTTTTTATTTTTGTCAAACATGAACCCAGAGTCCAAAACTTTTGGCATTCTAACATAGTGCTTCATTGGATCTGTCTGTTACAGCTTTTGTTGCCCAATGGGGTGACCGTCGAGGTGATTGTGGTGAACATTGTATCAGCCGGTCACCTGTTTGTCCAGCAGCACACTCACCCTACGTATCACGCCCTGCGCAGTCTGGATCAACAGATGTTCCTGTGCTATTCACAGCCCGGGACGCCCCCCTTGCCATCGCCTGTTGAAGGTAAGAGATCCCCCTTTTTCTCTTTTCGCATTCCTCTTTCTGCAGAAAATAACTAATTTTCTCCATCTCTTTTCCAGTTGGAGTGATTTGTGCGGCCCCAGCTGTAGATGGAGCCTGGTGGCGAGCGCAGGTCATCTCTTTCTACAAAGATTCAACCGAAGTGGAAATTCGATATGTTGATTATGGCGGCTATGACAGAGTCAAGATTGACACCCTTCGACAGATCCGGTTATTCCTGCTTTTTAAATTAATTTGTATTCGTTAGTAAAAGTTTCCATACTGTTCTGTAAAGTTCTTTATATTTAAAAAGCAAACATGCTACTCGTGATAAATATGTTTTCAAATATATACAGAAATATATAATTTTTGCATCTGTTGTTCTTATCATAGTCTTGTGCTGTGGACTCACTGATCTTTGATTTTCAGGTCGGACTTCGTGACATTACCGTTCCAAGGAACAGAAGTGTTATTGGACAACATTGCCCCACTTCCAGGTTTGCCTTTATTTTAACATTTAAGTTAAATTTTCCATCACCTCACTCCAGCTGGATCTCACTGTTGTTGATGTCTTCATTAGGAGAGGATCGGTTCTCCGCGGAGGCCAATTCTGCACTGGAAGAGATGACGAGAGGAGTTCCATTGCTGGCACAAGCGAGTCTTTAAATCATTCATTAATTTATGACATTTATGTTGATGATGTTTATAGCCAGCAGATAATTTAATGGGCTATTTTGATATATAGGTCACCAACTACGACAATAATACAGGACTTCCTTTAGTACACATGTGGAACATGGTGGGAGAGGAGGTAAAATTCATTTATTATTGTTGTATTTTTCTGTACATTCATAATTTGTTTTCCTCAAGCATTTTATTTTAAGAAATGTTTAATTCAGAACTTAATATTCTGACATTTTAAAGCTTGTTCACTCCAGGGACGTTAACTATAACAATAAAGATAGTATATAGATATGGTTTTACAAATCATTCTAAATTTAAAGGAATAGCAGAGTCCACACCACAACTAGAACAATAACAATATCATTGAAATCACTTTCAGAATTTGTTCTAGCTGATAAAAATGTAGACTGCAAATCAGAATCCATCCTGCTATTATAGAGTTTAAGCATTTAAAATGGCAGACAACAATCTTTTTCGTGTTTTGGTGTGCATGTTAATATAGTTCTGTTTTCCATGTGCAATCTTACTCATTTTGAGAGGCCATCTTGCTTCATTTTCATGTCTTTGATAACATGAAAAACATGAATAACATGATGATACATGGTTCCTTTTTTGTAGCTGGTCCTGCTCAACCGCACTTTGGCAGAGCGAGGTTATGGCACTTGGGTGGACAGTTTCTGATCCTCCAGAGCTCCCTCGCCCTCCTCTCCTCACTCACCTCGTGGCCCATCTGCCCCTTAATTATCACCACGCATCATGAATATCTGCAGGTTCTGTCCTCCTCACCCCATCGTGTCCTCCACCACCTTCTACCTGAAGTGCGCATCACTGGCTCCGGGAGTTTCTTTTTTGGTTTGTTGTCCTCTCCATGCTGCCTTTTTCTATTTTCTTTTTTCTTTTCTATCCCCTTGCATAAGAAATCAATACTGTATGAAAGGAAAAAACGAAGTCAAGTGTCAATGGCCAATCAACCAATAAGGACTGAAGTTTTCTTGACTCTGCTCTTGTAAATTTAAAATATTATAACTAAATAAAGGTTAAACATGTTTTCCGTCCGATCAGACTCCTTCCAGCACAAAAAACAACTGGATTATCATGCCGTGGATGAAAAATCTGTAGTAATGATAAAAAAAGTACATTTCAGAAGATAACTATGGTGAAGTTAAGACTCAACGATGTTGCTGCTGATGTAATCTTGGGTCATGAGACATCATGTTTGCATTTACGCTATCATGGCTTCATCCCAGTGTTTCACTGTCCAGTCGGGTGGGTTTTGGAAAGCTGATCTGTAGATATGGGTACAGTTCGGCAAGGAATAAACGACCACCACTCCATCTCGATGTCTGTCTGCACAACAGTGTGGTCTTAGAGGGTGATACGCAGCCCATCTCGTGACCTCCCTCTTCACCACAGTCTGGATCGGTAGGACTCCAACAGCCTTCGGTGTCGATAGGCCTGACGCCAAGAGTCACTTCATTTACTTCACCGATTACAGAGTCTTTTAATCCAGGAGACGTCTGTGCCCTCCTGACCTCTGGGCCATTATAAGAAAGACTATGCTGAGTCTTCAGCCCTAGAGCGACACTAGAGTTCGAATGGTGCTGCTAAAAAGGGTGTTCTTTACGCTGAATACTGACCTGTGGGGACACTAAATAAATGACTACAAAAACCAGAACAGTACTGTGTGAGGGGGACAGCAGGGAACTTCCATTCTGGGTGGATGAACTGCATTCAGTGGGTCTGTGTGTTTTTGTATGCATGTAATTTTGATCTAAAGCACGTCAATTCACATGTCGCATTATCATTTGTGTAATGGGCCGCTTGCTTTTGTCTCACTCAAGATCCGTCTCGCAATAACGTCACGTCTAGTGGACCCATTGCCATTAATGTCTCTTTGCATTCTGTAAATAACTTGGTACACTGTGTCCAATCCCAGCAACCCACCCAGTTGGCTATTAGGAGAAGCTGTCAGTACACCTACCTGTCTTGGAGAAGATAAAAAGCTTTAAGCCTTATCCATTGCTCTTTTTTTATGTTGGTTTTACATGGGATGAAATTAGGTCTGCTTATTACTGTATAATTTGTTAAAGTATAATGGCACAGAGATTAATATTCCCTTTTTGTATCTTGTCATTGATCATGCTCTTTCAGTCATTTAATGGCTTTTTGTCCACTTTTTCTGCTGCTTATTGCTAATCTAATGTTGGACTCCAGAATGTCTAAGATTGTCCTCGCGTGAGACGTTTCCAGGCTTTTGGCTTGACGTTATGGGTTTTTTGATTGTTGGCTCTATGGTCGTTAGCCTCGAAATGTCTTGATAAACTTTCCACCTTGTGAACAATAAATAAAAGCTACCTTTTACTACATATATTTGGCTTCACCAGAAAAAATTCAGGATAAAAACAGAAAATATAGTTTTTTACACTTAGTTTGAAACTATAATACACACTGCTTATTTTAGTTGTAGTATAGAGCGCTAAGTACGTGAACTGACGGCGTCGGAAAGTACCAAGTACTGCTCACTGCAGGGCCAAATGACCTCCAGCTCCCCTCTCTGGATGTCCAGCTCCACCTCTGTGTGAACTAATGGGTGGAGTTATGTTTAGCGATAGGGTAAGGGGTAGGGTTAGGGAGTGGTTGGGTGTCTATCTCCACCCATTACATCCAGCGAGGGGGAGCTAGAGCTCCAGCTCCTCCCATTTGGCTCTGCAGCGAGCACCCTCGTTTAGTCGTCTGTGAGGGCATTGCACGGTTTTCCGTTAGTATGCTACAAGGTTTTTCTGCTATATTTATTTCACACGCTCTTGTTTCTGTACGGTCCTGCGTTCATCTCAGGTATGAGCTTTTCATTTCTTATCTTTCTGTTTTTGAGGAGAATTATTAGTCATATTCCTTCAGGAATTGATGTAGTTGACCTGTGTGAACGTGCGCGGCCCTTTATAGGTCTGCCTGCGTTACAGCAGGTGAATAAATAAGGAACCACACCGACCTCAGAGCCGAAACGTTTCATTGTTCTTTAATAAGTGTGTTTTACTTTTTTATTTTATTTATTGATCAAGTCCAATTACTCTTTGCATACGCTCATATCTTGACTGACATGGCCTCCTACCACAAGTTCAGATGTGTCCAACTGTATGTTCCTACCTTAGGCACTCAAAGCGCTTTACATTGTCAGGGGGTATCTCCTCATCCACCAACAGTGTGCAGCATCCACCTGGATGATATATATAAAATGTCTCACTGTACTTTTGTAAAAACACTGAAGCAAGTGTAGGAAACAAAAGGGAACTTTTTTTTTTTCCACTCCCACCTTCCAAAGTCTGCTCATTTGTTCTCTGTTGGTAGGAATGGTTTGAAATGTTTGCTTAGCTAGATAATTAATCATTTGATTATTTAAATGAGTGTAAGAAGTCCTGCATAGACATGTACAGGTCAGTTTATGCCAGACTCATTACAAGGTTTGATTCTTTGTTTGTACAGATCTATTGGAAAAAAAAGAGAATAAAGTTATTAAAAACATTTCATGTCGTATTTTAATTTTTAAAACACGGTGACTTGTAATATACTGTATCAATCAAACGTTTAAAGTGTTCTTTAAAGGTAAAGTCTTATGGCTGAATGTCTAATTCAAATTTTTAATCTAAGCAACATTTGTCCTTCAGGGATAGTATAAATATACCTAGAGGTTTTGTATTAATATTTTAATAAATTATTGATACACTCCTGTTAAAGTAATACTTTTATTCAGAAAGGATGTATTAAATTGATCAAGTGACAATAAAGACTTTTACATTGTTATAAAAAATCCTGCTGTTCTTTTGAACTTTCTATTCATAAAAGAATCCTAAAAAAAATTAACCTTGATAAGAAAAACTGAGCATTGTTAAATGTTTCTTGAGCACCAAATTAACATTAGAATGATTTCTGAGCAATCATATGACACCGAAGACTGGATTGTTGTCTGTTGAAAATTCAGCTTTGCATCACAAGAATGAATTGTTATATGAAATAATATTAATAGAAAAGAGTTTTTACGTTGTAATATTTCACAGTATTAGTATTTTTTTGTAGTTTTGTTCAAATAAATGCAGCCTTGGTGATTATAAGGGGCTTCTTTCAAAAACATAAACATAAACGTAAATGCAAATTTCTACTTTATTGTAATACTTGTAGTTCTTAACCTCTAGAGGGAGTTAAAGACCATTTTATGATCACACTTCCTCTCTCCAAGGCTGAGTTCATACATTTGAGCTCTGTAATCCCAGCAATGACATTTCCAAGAACAAGGATATTCTCTCAGATGTTCCAGTGTACACACTTCTAAATGAGAGACTACTTTGATCCATCCTAATTCTGCAGCTTTACTTGACGAGTGCCTTTTGTATTTGCTAGAAAGCTAAAGTGGAATCATTTTGTTAACCCATGTCTTGAATCAATTGTATCTTTTTTTAAACCAGTGAAATTAGCATATTGTGGGCCACATTTGCTCTCTGCTGCAGCTGAGTGAGTGACACTTGTACCTGAGCTTTTGTCCAGAATGATTTGGTATTTTCTTTTTTATCGTGTACAAAACGCCACTGGCAAATCCCTGATGGGGTTTCTGGTCTGTTCAGTATAGGTAAGGTGACATTGTAATATCAGAGGGTGCATGTAGCTCTGCTTTGTGCTGCAAAATCACAATTCATTTTTGCTTAAATACTGTTGATTTAATTTATTGGTTAATTGGTTTGTTTAAATCTTTGGTTGTAAAGTGACATAAAAAATGTCTATCATCATATCTATAGATATCTATCTGATCTATAGGTGACACCACATTTCTGGTTTTTCATGCTGATGCAGAACACCAAGTTAAGCACATGTCTAGACTTAATAATGACAATATAGTTATTCTCCCAGTGCTGTAATTCTATTCAATTTGGTTTTGGCAAATCATAACTCTTCCTGCAAGTGCAAAATGCAACCAGTAAAAAATGGAAACATACTGGCTTGTTTGGGGTTTAAACTCAAAAAGCCCCAGAGTATGTTTATTGTAACTCACTGGTGGCAGCTCTGTCATTTAAACGCATCATAAAATTGGCAGATGATGCCACAATAAATTATCTGATGAGAAACAAGGTAGTGGATCTGGCAATAAGGTGCAAGGTATTGCCATTCAAATTCACGAAACATGAAGATTATTCATCAAAATATACACTGGCTGAATAAATCATGATGTGATTGATGTAACAGTGAGTTAGTTAAACATACAGGTGTTACCATACATCTCAACTCAAGATACAAATCATAGTCATTCTTTTTTGAATGACAGGTCTTTCATTTATGTTGGGTTAAACAAGATTCCTCATTATCCCAATATAAACCACCATATATTGAAAGACAATTTCCCAAAGGCAATATGTTTAATAATAAAAACAATGACAGTTTTTTTACAATGACTTTTTCTGCCTATCTAGCCCAAGCCAATCATTACCTAGTCAAACATTTATTGTTATCTCTTCAAACCTGGTCATTTGCTAGTTAAAGTTGGTCTTTAACTAGACAGAGCTGGTCAGTTGGTAGTCCAAGCTGGTAGACCAAGCAACAAACATGTTTTTAGAACATGATAGCTGGTCAACCAGTTGATAACCAGCTTAGACCAGCTAGAAACCAGCTACCATGTTCTAAAACACAGCTACCAGGGTCTTTTTTGCAGGTTGATATTAAAGCAGCACTATGTAACTTTTGGCGCTCTAGCGGTTAATAAACAGAACTGCACGCATCCCGCGGAAGAACATTCCAACCGGAGCTACTTCTCTAAGTTTATGTCTCTGGCGATTCACGCAGGTATGTGTTACTCCGCAGCAGTGACGACCCGACCAGGCTACAATAGTCCAAATATAAGTACTTATTATAAGTGTACCGTAGTGATTCGGAATAAGACAAAAACGAAGTTTGGAAGATGAATTCATGATGTACTCGCTCATTATATACATTTTGCAAATTTTGAACACAGAAAAAGTTACATAGTGCTGCTTTAACAAAACACTGTTTATCTTTTGAGCCCCTCAAGAACACTCAAGTATCCTATTACTGACTCCAAACCAGAAATGTATTTCTTTTAACTAAAATAAAACAATATCATTCATTCATTATTAATTTAAATAATATATATATATA